AATAGAAATTAGCTGCTGAAATCGTAATCGTTATTGTAATCGTAATCGCCCTAACAATTACTATCGAAACATAGAGAATCGTAATCCCTAGAAAGAGAACCAGAAAAAAAAAACAAAGCAAAATGTTTTGTTTTTCAAAATGTAACAAAAAACTTTTATTGTTGACCTAAATTCGAAAAAAGTGTAAACAATTTGTGCTGTAAATAGAGAGTACTTAAAGAGCAAGAAGACCAAGTGGAAACATCTTAGGTATATATGTACATATATGCTAGACTATAGTAAAATGAGCTCTTTTTTGTCTGATCTAATGTTGAATCAATGTTTAATGAGCTCGGCCACATCAAAAGATGAAAACCTAATCGCATTGCGCCATAAACCAGAGAAATATCAATTGTAACATAGATATGCTATGGATGTATATATGCCAACTCATACTGTATATATGTATATATACATATATTGGTTTTCTCGATATCGCAGACAGCACGGCCGACGTCTGTAGAGTGCGTTACGTGCTCTGACTTGGCCAATTTATCATTTGATTGTGGCCAAAGTGCTATACTGCCCCCGACTTCTAGCAGCAAATCAGCTATATTTATATATATCTATATATACAGATATATGTGCGTGCCCATAGGTATTATTTGTATAATAATAAAACTACAACTCGTTGGAAGACGCCCGCGCGGCTGATTCGCAGCATCCATACACATTTAACACTGCATGCGTGTGCGTGTGTGTGTGTGTAGATGTGGCACGCCGACCGACAACGACTCGCCAATTGACGTCAGCAATGCCCCCAAAGTCACAAACTGTGGCGAGCGGGTTGCCAAGCAGGCGAGACGAGGGCCGAAAACGAATTCTACCCCATAGCAGGAGCCCCGTTACGATTGGAGAGGTGAGCGGAGCGTGAGAGAGCTACAGAGACAGAGAGAGTGGGGTAGGGGGGCAGGCGGGTGTCGGGCGGGGTGCCGGCGCGCAGTCATTTTGGCAGTCAGTCATACAATTTGATGCTGTGCCACCTACCCTATATATATTGTGCCATTTGCTCATGCCAACCGA